CGCCGGGCCGGAAACGCGTAAACACGCGTGACCCGGGGCCTCACCGCGTCTCCACCGTCCCCGACGCGCGGTGAGCGTTCAGCCCTCAGAGCGCGCTCCTGGCCCAGCAAGAAAGAAAAGACTCGGGTGCCGGTGGCATCAGGGCGCAGGGCCCAAGCTAGGTGGAGTAGCCCGGTGAGCGGGAGGAGCCCGAAGGGCACGAAGGGCACGCACGCCTGGGATCCCAGCACTCGGGAGGCTGAGGCAGGAGGGTCGCTGTGAGTTCCAGACCAGCCTGGGCTACGTAGTGAGTTCCGGGTCAGTCTCAACTACGTAGTGAGACCCTGTCTCAAAAAACCAAAAAAAAAAAGAAAAAAAGAAAAAGAAACCCGAAGTACAGAGCGTCCCTGGAAGGCAGGGGTCTCAGAAACCGCAGGCCACTTTCTGGTGGGAAAATCGGGAAGAGCACCCTGACTGTTCCTGTTTGTCCCGCCAGAGGCAGGCATGGGCAGGACGCAGTGGCTTCCTCAAATCTGTAAGTACACAGCACGGCGTGTGTGGGGCCTCTCCCGGGCGGCGGGCGGGTTGCACAGAGCTCTGAGGGGCTCCAGGGCGTCCTCTCGGGAACCAGTTCTCCCTGGTGTCGCGTCCCTGGGGCAGGATGTCTTCTAGACGGGTGTCACCGCCGAGCGGCTTGGGGAGATGGCGGTCTGAGGTTTTTCACACCTTTTTCCTACGCCCTCGCAGAGAGCTCGCCGTGAGTGCCGCTGCGCGTTCTGCTGCTGTCTCATCATCTGGACCCTCGAAGTCGCCGGTTCAACACCGCTTTCTAGGTTCGGCTCGGAGCGGGGCTGGACGTGTGGGGCCCCCTCCCGCCGGCCCTGTGGGGTTGAAGAGATCGCTCGGCCGGTAAGTAGCACACGTGTGGCTTTGGCAGGAGGCGCGCGGACCTGGGGAGGAGTCCGGGCAGGGTCCAGGCACAGGCGGGGAGCTGGGGGCGTTTCCTAAGCTGATGAGTCCGCACTGGGGCCCACAGGGCTTGCTGGGAACCAGCAGCCTCGGAGGCCAGCAGGTGGACGGGGCTGCCGGGCCAAGGCCTTGGACGAGAGGCTGACAGAGAGGACGTCACATTAAAACCACCGGTGCTGTGGACGCCACGGCCTGCGTCAGAGCCCCGCTGTCCGCACGCTGTCTGCTCCCGGGGTGAGCAGAAGATGCTGGGAGCTTCGGGTTGGGCTAAACCCTCCCTCCAGCAGGAGCTTTAGGGTTCATGTGGAGCTGAGGTGGCGGCCCCCGCCTGGTCCACTTCACAGTGAGACCGGAGCCGACGCAGGGCTGCAGGAGGCCCGGGCACCGGGAAGCTTGGGCCTCGCTGGACAGAGCGTGGTAATAAAGTGACTTACAGATGGTAGATCCCGTGGGTGTTTGTACGTTGCAGCCTCTCCGACCCCTCGCCTGGTACGTGTGACCATTTCAGGACATGAAGGGGCCACTAAGAGCCCGGACAGGCCAAGTGGGACCCCTGAAATCACCTGTTCCTGGACCAGTGCGTAAGAAGACCGAGGATGTCAGGGTGGCTTAAGTATGGGCATGCAGTTCCTCAATACGTTCCTGCGCACCAGGGCCTGAGAACAACAAGGGTCCGTCTTCTCCCATCTCAGAGCCCTGGTGGCTGAGACCGAGGCATCCCGAGCCGAGCTCCCTCCACAGGCTCCCCAGGAGACCCTCCTGCCTCTGCCTCTTCCTGGGGCTCCGGGTGGCCACGCGCCGTGGCCCCACCGTGGCTCCAGTTTCTACCTCTGTCTCCACGCAGCTGCTGCTTTTGTTTCCTTATTTATGTCAGTGTGGACTCTATTTCCAAATAAGGCTCCTCTGAGTTTGAGGGTGGACGTGAGTTTGGGGCACCGTTCACCCCAACACTGTGTCCTTTCCCGACGGCAGCAGCTACGGGTTTCACCTCGTCCTCTCCCAGCCCACGGGGTGAACGCAGTAGCAGACTCTGTCCAGTGCTGTCCTCCCAGCGGCCCCTCCCTGCTCTGCTCGTCCCTCCTCTCGGGCTCTGTTTCCGTGCTGAGGGCGCCTGCAAGGCCACCCCGCACCCTGTGCAAAGTTCCAGGGACGTAGCCGCCTCGGCCTCCTGCCCACCTCCCCTTTCCCGGCTAGTTTGGTTTCCTAGATGTCTTGGGAGCCAGGGCTCCTCCGGTCCTCACAGCCACGCAGGCGTCGGGGCTGGCGCGGGAGGGGTCGTGCACACCGCTGTGGCCCCACGGA